AGAGCAATTTCAAGCTCTCCAGGACCTAGAGATGAGAGTATATCTAGGTCAGTATAGTTCCCGCGAAATACAAATCACAATATAAGTCATGCTGCTACATACCAATATTAATTCTGTCCGTCACTGATCCCCAATTCGACGTCACGAAAACACGCAGATGTTCAGATAAAATCGTAGAACTGTATCCATGCTGAGAATATAATGGGGAGGAGCTAGTATTAATCACCGTAGCAGAGGGCGAAGAGAATTGCAAATGTACGACGGGTTTCGATACCGAATGCCCATCCGGGAGTTGTTCCATCGAGAAAGACCGCATGGGGATGTCGGGTGTCTTCACCTCGTCTTGCAAGGTAGCGATGCCGAGGAGTAGCGAGTGTAATTTGGCGCGTTCCTCCTGTTCGTGGAATGTTAATAACATGGAGCGCTTTGCACCGCCGCCACCTTCTTGCGGTATTTTGACGAGAAGGGCTGGAGCACCGTCCTCGCCTCGCAGATAGCCAAAGACAATGGGTGTCCCGTTGCCTAGTTCGTGGGAAACACTACTGAGCGTCTTAACCTTAGGGCTTGTCACGGCGATGAACCGGAACCCTCTATGGGCTTTTCGCGTGCCAGTACCCTCAGTTATAGTTACGGATTTCTCGAAGAGGCGTATTCGACATCGCGGGCTAGGTTCCGGAGGGAATGCTTTGTTGGGACTGGAGTCCATGTATTGAAATACTTTCAAAACGTCCTCGAACAGTAAAGTTTCGCCCGCTTCCGGTTGTAAGCTGTCCTCAGTCTTATGGGTATATTCCACAATTTTCCAGATCATTTTAAAGTCGGCCTGCTCAAACTGAATATCCAATTCGAAGCCACGAGGCAGTCGAACTCGCATCGAGTTAGTTCTCACTTGCCACTCTACATCTGCCCATGTGGGACCCAGCTTTTTATCTCCCTGGATCATTAAATTAACAAGTTCATTTTGGCTCGTAATTGAGACAAGAACATTCCAGTCACTTCGATCACGTATAATAGACAATACACAAGGAATTGCGAATTGTTCAGAATCGTCTTCGCTGGAGCTTAGGTACGCCTCCACAAACATCCTACCATAACAGAAATAACGGCTAGAGTCTCCCAATGGCATAACATCACCAATTTCCGTCGCCTTTCGCGCTGTATCCATGAGCATGGATCGCGTCACTTGGCCGGAGAGAACTGCGGAAATGTCGGGCGCAAAGAAAGGGTACCGGACCCATATTGTGGTATCGATTCCTCGGGAGAGATGCAGTTGTTCCATGGCTGCTGGGAGGATATTGTTTCGTTTCATCGACATCGCCAATGCGCGTAGATGGCTGAGGGTTCCTTGACGAACACTCATTAAACTACTCAACCTTTGATCGCCTGCCGTTGTGGCTACCGCAATCATAGTTTCTGTGCTCATATTTCCGAATCGGGACAACTCGGGGTGATCGGGGACAATATGCTCGGTAATCCACCAGGATTTCGCCAAATTGAGCACGCCCTGACACGTTCTATCAACATCAGGTGGAGAGTTTCTTCCGCCATTTGAGGGTTGAGGACGCATGGACGCTTCGACGTCAGACTTGCCCTTGAGAAACCACCATACACTTGTTCTGATCCATTCGGACAAGGACGTCTCCATGGACGGCTTAACGCTCTCTGCAGCATCGCTGAAAATATCATTATATTGTGCAGCGCGCGCTGTAAAATCAGCCAGGGCATCATTACTAACGACATTAGCAGCGGCTCTCCACGACGTCTTCAAAGAAGCTGGATCTTTAGTTTGTTGAGTCTGATTATCAAAGGAGCTTTTCGGAGGCAGACGTTGTTTATCTGGCTCACGATCCGGCTCTGCGGGTGAGGATCTCAAATAGGGTGGGGGTGGAGTGTCCGGATACGACCCCGGAGAAGTGTGTGTTGTTCCAGGGCTGTCCGACGCACTATTATGGTGTCTGTTTGGCTCGCTCTTGCTAGGCAGAGCAGATAATACACTTCCCCAAAAATCAAACTTCGGGGGAGAGGATGTTTCGCGGGTCATATCTGGTGATGGGTTCGAAGCAGCGGACGGGCGGAGCGGGAGGGCAGTTTCTGGAGAAGGGTGAGAATCGAATTCGTCTGGATCCGTAGGCGAAGCAGTCCGTGCCGCCTTTTGCAGTGCCAAACCCTCCTCAGCTCTCATCCTAGCCTGAATGCGACTTGCAAAGGAGTTTGGATCTCCCGAATCCCTCAACGATATGCGAGACCCTGTCGTGTTCTGTGTCCCAAGGGATAGTAAGAAGTCTGCTTCGTGGGCGCTTTTCACCATTTTGAGCTTCTCTCGAGTATCCTCTAGGCTAAGACCTTGCCTTGAAGAGGCTCCACCCCAATACGTAGAATTCGATGGGGAGCCAAATGGGCCTGCATTCTCAGAATGGGCATGTGATCCATCCGTCGCAATGGAAGCGGTCGAGTGTGATCTCGAACGATAAAGAAGTACATCCTTAGTTGGTAGCTCAGCCTCGTCACCCCCTTCTCCAATGACCTCGGGGCCATTGTTGGCGAATGTCACCTTTAAACCCTTTCTACGACTCCGTTTCTTCGGGGGGCTGATCGGGGTGGTACGAGTTGGATCTTTGGTATCAATGGAGAGACGCGAGGGAGACCGGCCCGGGGAGTCGCCGGATTCAGGCCATCGTTGCGAAACGGCAAGATTGAGACGGGGTGCCACGGGGACACCAGTCCGCGATTGTTGATGTTGATGCTGATGCTGATAGTGACGTGGCGGTGATCGCCGTTGTTGTTGCTGTTGTTGCCATTGTTCTTGTTTTTGTGGTGGTGGTGGTGGCTCATGCTGATGTTGGTAGGGTTGTTGGTGTTGTTTGGCGGGGAGTTGTGGAGTGGAGATTGGGGAAGAGATGGACTGCCGCGGCGGCGGGAGAGGGGAGCGGTGGGAACCTAGGAAGTCATCAACCTGCTCATCAATAGACACTTTCGGAGTCTTGTCTTTGGAGAACAATTTGCCGCGCCATTTGCGGGCCTTGGATTCAGCAGCTCCAGCCAGGGAGCCATCCTCTGGTGATTCAACAACCATGCTCGACGAGGGAAGCGGGGACGACAACAACAGCGGCGGCGGCGGCAACAGCAGCAGCAGCAGCAACAACAACAACACAGACTCCCACAGGCAAAATTGGATATGGAAGCGCCAACATTGGATGGAGCAGAGGATGACAGGAGCAGTCGACGCAAAGCGACGGGCGCGGGGGAGGTTAGGTGTTCGCAAGGGTCAGGACAGGACGGGACGTGGGCGTCAAAGTAGTCGTCGGGTCGGATAAGCAAGTCCTCACGTGCAAAGCGGGCTTGATGAAACAAGTAGGAAGATCGACAAGGGGGGGAGAGAGAGAAGAGGTGGGTCTTGGACTGACAGGCAGGCAGGCCGCCAGTCAATCAATGAATAACTAATGAATTGCTGCAGTCTCCAGACTCCAGACTAGGGGTAATTTAATCGAGGACAGACGACCAGATGAAATAATAATATGTGGCAGCAGCAGCCAACGCTATGGATTGGCTGGAGCCAAGCGATGCGGGTTTGTGTCAAGCTGTGTGTTTTTGTGTGTTTTATTACTGTGTTTCCATTCACAGTCTCTTGATGGGTCTCGCAGGCTGTGGCTAGACAGCTTGGCGAGCGTCTCGGAGTGCCTCAGATGGCGGGGCACTCCCCTGAGAGTCGCCTACGATTGGCCCGGCCGGCGGGGCAACTGGGGCCAACTAGAGGCTGCCCAGTGCCCATGGGCCTTGGTCAGCCCTAGTCTTTAATTAAGGATTAAGGGGGTGGTTTGGCTCATACAGTGATGTCATAACCTCTACGCTGCGTAACTGATGAGTTCCTTTTTTTTTCACTTCCAGGGCTGAAGGGCTGAATCATGGGCCTGCATCCTAGGGGCGTTTGGTTTGGTTGATACACCACTTGGCAGTGATTTTTCTACCTTTTCCTCCATGAAGCTACTACTCTGAGCGTTTACGGATTATATGCTGAACTTCACATGTACACGTACTGTACGGAGTCCATACCACACCTGTTAAATAATAAATACTTCCAAGAACTGCCGACACTAGGCGTGACTTGAATGAACCATGATCATATTCACTTTGCAGACCTCGCGACGACGTATCGATCGGTCAATTAGTACTGATTATAGTGGATAACTACAATAGTTTATTCCCATTAAGCCCTAAAACGATACTTGAATCTCCGGTCTTGAGTACACTCAATCAGGATTCTAGGTAAGCTATGTGCGTACATACAACTGATAAAGAGAAGTCGTTTTACAACCTAGTCTCTTTTTGCAAACTCGACTTCTTGCAAGAACTATTTTCTTTCATGCATGAGAAGATCCTTGCCTAAAAAAGCTGATGAAGCACATTGGAAAAAGCGTTACGAAGCTAGTTAACTACTAATAAACGTTATGTATAGTACATGTATAGGAAAGCCAAACGCAATATCTAAAAAGGAATACCCTTTTCTAATTTATGTCTATCAACATAAGAAATATATCAATATATACAATCCCTCTCCTGCCACGAGGCCTAGTTTATCTGTGACCATAACCGTACCAGTCATACCATTATTGCAATTCATCATTCCCACTCCGCATCCCGCTCAACGCTTCTGATACGTAATCTTAAACTCCGTCGATCGCAACACTCCATCCTGCGTCTTCGACTGCTGCCGCTGATGCTGCCGGTCTTGCTGCTCTCGTTGCTCCGGCTTAATAATCGCCTCACTGTTATTCGACAAATTGCTGCCCTGGCGGCTGCTTCTGGCCTTGCTGATTATCTGAGTCTTGCATCGTGCAGTGCCTATCCGCCGACTCCAGCTTGTTGAAGTCTGGCTGTGCCTTGCGCCAGCCGCGGCTGCTGCTGCCACCGAAATGCACTTCTATAAGCGAGCGCATGGCGGGAACTGGGGCGCAGAATTATGCACATTTTCACTTCGAGGGCCGTGCAGAGCTCTGCGGCGCACCAATGCCTGTGGCGTGTCAAGCTTTTTCTTTGTGTGTCAGGGTTGACCAAGTATGAATGGGATAACTCTAAGGTTGAGGAAAGGGGAGTGTCTGATGGAGGATCACGGCAGAGGAACATACCAGAAGAACTCGAGAGGGTTGTTAAGGGCGATGGCATTGGTCATTTGTCTTGCTATCGTGACGCAGATCGTGAGGATACCGATACTGAAGTAGAAGACTAGGCCGACTATAATGTCGCGTTGGTTAGCGCTGTTTCCCCATCGCTGTTGAGATACCGTTTTCAGTGGCGTGGGGAAGAGAGGAGGGGTGCGCGCCTTATATCGCCTGGGACCTACTTTTCCGTCGGCGATTGATGTGCAACGTTTTCAAGATGGGAATTGGGAGAACCGCGAGCAGGATATCGGCGTTGAAATAATGAAAGTGCAGGATGTCAATGTATCCAACCGGAAACGTTGGGCTCCACATGAGCGAGACGGTCGTGCAGATAAATATCGTCGTCTTCCGTTTCCATCGAATCAGTACTGCTATCCATCTCATCAATCTATATAGGAGAGATAGGATGAGAGACTAACGAGGGTTGCTGCAACTCTGTGGAAAAACACAACAGCCCCGAAGGCGTAGAGAAACTTCAAATGCGTGGCACTCGATGCCAACTGTGTGTAAAGGGCGACCATACCGGATTTTGCAAGGGAATACCGGAAAGGTCGATAGTACAGAATTTGCAATCCCCCCTCCCACTGCATTGAATCCTAGTGTAGCATGTGCATAGATAGATAGATATTGTCGTGGCAAAGGGTAGGAAACGCACATTCATCCACATACAATTTCATGCATTGACAGGTCTGCCGCACGGCATCCAATCCCAAGATAGTACATGCCCGGAACGGTGACTGTGATACCAAACACGCTCAATTGTATAGGTGGAGTGAACAAATTCGGCAGTCAAGCAGGCAATTCAAACAGCCAGGTGCAGATGGTGACAATAACGGGGGACGAAAACGTACAACGGCGCCAAACATGAGATAGCTCCCATATCTCGGACCAGGAAGAACCTTGCATAATACCTGCAGTTTGTTCAAAGAAAATGGTCCAGTCAACGCAGTTCTAAATGAGATTGGACAAGAATAGTAATCATTACCTACCTCAATGACCACTATCATAGCAACGCCAAATATTGACATAGCAGCCTATTTGCAGACTCTGGTTCGAACCTGGCTCAAGGAGGGCCATTGTGACTGACAAAACAATGGAATGGGATAGGTGAGTTGGCCGACGTGGAAACTCATGGGATGAGTTTGCGCAGTTTCCCCAGGTTCAAACATCGCATGCACACGAAGTCAGAGGGAGCTTGGGGCCGTTCGTCTATATAGAGACCAAGGCCAATTTTTTTTTTTTTTTTTTTTTTTTTTTTTTTTTTTTTTTTTTTGGGCGCCGCACAAGCACTCATGCTGAAAAGAGAAAGAAAAAAGATCATCCAATGTTCGAAGGAGCGAAAGAGAGAAATCGTGCCGTGTGATCGGCATCCAGAACCATCTCTGCTCATGACAAGCTTGACGGGATCAGTTGCTATTCGTCTTTGAAAAGAGAGGAACCCCCCTCCCCATACCGGCCAGTTGCGCAGTCCAAGCGGTTTCTCGGAAAGCTGTTGAACTTATCCACCGGCCACAACCAGGAATCCCGCCCCACGTTTTAGTGTCGAGCGGTCGTATCCCTGTGGATGGCATGGCGTGGCCAGAGATGTCCACTTCATTCACACCTGTCCGTATCTACGTATCCTGGTTAAAGACATTATTATTGAACACGTCTCTCCCAGTGAAAATCGGAAGGATAGCAAGGGGCATCGCAAAGGCAAGTCCTCTGAGGGCTCGCGCAATCCAAATTCTCCGACATCCCAAATGCGCGCTCGGGATAAATAAGAAGCTTCCATTTCACAGGTTGGTGAAACTATTTTAAATGGGCCTAGCGCGTCACCACAGGCGAAGGAGAAAAAAAAAAAAAAACATAAAGGGCACGCACATCTTACGTGATGGATTTTAATGAACACAATAATCATGTCAATTTGTGCCGAATTTACCCCGTGGCCACTGTCACGGACATAGAGACTACCAATTTATTCATTTCGTCGTAAGTTCAAGCAATCACCCGCCAACCAAGCGTGAAGAGCAAGGGCATTATGGTAGTCCTTGGCGCACCAAGTGTTGCTTGAAGGATTGAGGCGAAAGGCGGCTCGTCGACGAGTCATCGTTGTTAAACGAATACCTCCTTTGCCAATTAGGGCATGGTTGGGCTGGATTATGGAGGATACTGAAACTCCTAGCGCGCGCTACTAAACAGTAAGCGCTGGCTAACCACACCGATGTTTCATACATTTTCCTTCAGTGCGCCCGGCTGCCAGGCTCCTGGACAGGACGGAAGAACACTAAACTTCCATCCTCTCTTGCCAAATGTCTCGCCTGGATAACTTATTCATAACTGGAAGCAGACTCGGGAGACAGGCTTCGGGACCGCAGCCCGTACCAAAATTCTGCGTCTGGATGTCCCTAATTTTAGCGGGGATGTGTGTACACCTCCCGCTGAAGCAAGAATTTGGATATATGTAGTATAAGATCAGGGATTCCTACTGAAAGAGGATTATAAGTAAGCTCGTATGCCAACCCATCCAAGCTGTAGTATTTTGCCATGGACTTCGCGCCTGGCGGATAAAGCCATGCAAGCCATAGGTTACCCCGAAAGCGGAACGTAAACGAAACGAACGGTCTTGGCTGGGACGAGCGCTGGAGGAATGTCGGCCATCACGCACCATGTAACTACGGGATTGGTTAGCAGTTTAGTCAATGATTAGTCACTAGTGTAGTAATTGATAATCTGGCCAATTATATTCGTTGAATAATTTAATATATGCCAAGCCTATACGAAGATAGTATTCGAATAGTAGTATTCGGTACGCACACTGCCGCTGGTGCTTCTGCGGGTACGGAAATATTATTGATAAATAAGAAGATGATTTAATTACCTAGAAGCCTGTATATGTCGGGATACGCAGAACCTGCAAGGGCGAGGGCAAGCTATATTTAGCTGATTCGCAAGTTCTCTGCGAGCGGTGCTCAATAAATAGAATTTCGGGGCTGGTGAGTGGTTGACCTCGGTCAGGATCAATACAGCGTAAGAGCGGATCGAGGATCACTGTGACTGGCCGATACCGAGTGGCTGTGTTCCAGCCAGAGTCGACGTATATTGGTTGACAGCAGAAGTAACTGGCTGATGTGATTGGGATCCATAACTATTGGTGAGACAAGCTTTTCCGGGTAGGAGGACCATGCAGCAGACAGAAAGAAAAGGAGCACAAGTTGCTGGCTTGGGCGGCATGAGTAAGTTGACAGTTTGTTGACCACGAGAGCCGCAGCGAGGAGTGTGGCGCATCCTCGTATTGATATCAGCAGAGACATGGAACAGAGTAAGTGTCAACCTGCATTATTTTGAGTAGAAGTGTGTTAAGGTTCTCACATCCCCACCAGAATTAACAGACAGAGAGTCTATTTAGCCTTTGCAACGCCCACCGGCGTACACTCACTCACGTTGGAAGCTCGGCCAAAATAAGAGAACCACGTAGAAGCCGGGGCGTATGAGCCATTATGTATGTATTTCTTGCCAGTAACTTAGTTATAAAACTAGTAATAATAATAATAATAATAACTAATAATAATAATATGCGCAGCGTGTGCATGAGAAACACCAAGCCCAAGTCAGTCCAGCCAGCAGCAGTGATACAGCGTGGGCCCCAGCTCATTTCCAAGTTTGGCGCAGTCTTGGGCCCTACAGGACTATGACAGCGCTAGAGCCTTAACTAACGAATACCTAAATATGTAGTGCCCACCAAAGCCAAGCTGGCCAAGCGACTTCAGGCTGAACGAACCAAGACCTCCTCCGCCAAGTTTGTCTCCATGCCTGTCATTCTTCCTGTCCTGCAAATATCCCCCGTCCCCAGTCTCCAGTTTCTACCGTGGCCTTGGGATTCCGATCGTTGTTCAAAAAAGAGAGAAAATTGGGGGAAAAAATATATCCCCTCGCTGCCTATTACTCGGTCCTTGACCGAGCCATTCGCTCCCAAGGTTGTGACCCTTCCCATATCTCGAGCTCTTCCATTCGCCCTTCGATCCGCCGTCCCTTCCCTAACCCTCCAATTCAACATCTTACGACCTATTCCTACGTTATATTCCATTCAGTGGCACCATCGTGTTGTACTGGGGAAGAACCTATCGACTTTCAAGGTTCGCGGGAATTTATCATCGTCCTGTAGCGGAGAACAACGGTGATAAAAAGAAAAAAAAAAAAGAAAAAAAAAGAAAAGCAACACTGATTCAGCCGGATTTTTATTTTTTGGATATTATCGGAGTCGTGGATCGAATCGTTGTCTAGGTGGGAGGACGGGCTGTCCTCCTCTGGGAGGCTGCCTCGCATATTCTGGGTGGCCGTGATGGGTTGGGTTGCTTCGGTATCAGGCGATCTCCCGCTGCACTGCCTGGGTTCCCGGGAGAATTACTCGATAGCTAGGGATCGCGAACAGCAGGAGGTACAGAGACGGCGGCGAAAACGACACCGCCAATGCGCAGATGAAGATTACCATGCTGATGAACGGATGGCTCCCCGGGTCATTTCGAAATTGAATCGGCGACGACGACAAAAAATTCTGGGTCAGAATGGGAGTTCGATGTTATTCTTGATATCAATTTTCGTCGCATTACTCACATCTCATCGTGCCAATGCAGCGTTTGTCAACTTTGAAAATTGCCTGCCCCAGTCGACCATCTACTCCGATCCTCTCCAGCTCCAGTTCAAGCCACTTTATGTCTGGGCTTCAATGGACAGCGCTTCCGAAGCCAAAAACCTGAATGTGACGGTCTATGGGAATGTCACTGGGGCCTCAACCCGGGAACCCTATCCTCCTCCCGATTCTCCTCGCTGGTCCGATCCAAATGACACCTTTGGCAAGATAGTCGATGTGGACGTTGAGAATAACATGCTCTCGACCCTTTTTACCAGATTCGAGGTCCTCAGCTATTCTCCATACGTCGCCGAGGCTGCTCGATTTTGTGAGTCCTTGATCCAGGGAGAGTGCCCACTGGGGCCAGTTTTTTATTCTAATGGGTATGAATTTCCCTCCAACGAAGATATATCAATATGCGCGTAAACATTGTTGTTGGATGATTTTATTGACCCTGTCATTGATGTATAGGACTCCATCCGAATTACGAGCTTTCTCCGCTGCCCATGAGCTCTTCTCTGCCTATTCTTTCACGACCATAACGCCTTTCATGAGAGTGACAGCTGGCGATTCCGCTAGAACTCTTGTTGTTTGCGTATCCGCCGAAGTTACGCCTGCCTTAGGATCAACGCTAGATAACGCCCTTAGATATATCCCCCTTGTCATTCTCATTCTGGTGGGAATTGCGACAGTATCTGCGGCCATGTTCAGCCCATGGGGTTCTTTAGATATCTTTCGGTGGACCTCCAATTACGGGCGAGACGAGGATTTGCTGCGGCTTGTCACCCCAGGATTCGCGGACTGCCTACAGTATATTCAATTTGTGGTTCTAACCGGATCGTTAACTCTGAATTACCCGGGGTTCTATCAGCCTATTGTAAGCAGGGCGGCATGGTCTACTCTCATGTTCAACGAAAGCTTCGTCAGCCATGGAAATGGAACCCAGCCTGTTCAGGATGGAGTGTATGTTGTCAATGCAACTTATGGTTTGGATCGAATGGCCCACCTGGTCGGCATGACGTCGGTCAGGGACGTATGGTCTGGAATGGTAATTTGGCTTCTTGTGATTCTTGCAAGTGTCGTTGTAATAATCCAGCTTGGGTTCGGTCTACAATGGCTACACCACCAAGTCGCCCGTGTACCAGAAGAAGATCTTCGCGCCAAGAACTTCCCTTTCACCATGGGCAACGTTATTCGCATCATTTTCAACTATTTTCTTTTGCCAATCGTGTCATTATCCATGTTCCAGCTGGTGGTCACTCGCCATTCCGCTATTTCCACAGTAGCTTTGGCTGTCGTCCTTCTTGTTGGGTTGATTGGATTTGCTGCTTGGCTATTGATCCTCATTACCCGAACGCGTCCACGGTCGTATATGTTTGACGATCTTCCAACAGTTCTACTTTACGGCTCTTTGTATAATACATTTTCCGATGGTGCTGCCGCTTTCTCTGTAGTATCCGTTCTTCTCACATTCGTTCGTGGCATCGCGATCGGAGCCGTCCAACCTTCAGGGATTGCACAGATTGTGCTCCTAGCGATCTGTGAAGTTGTCCTGCTACTGACGTTGTCCGCGTTCCGTCCCTTCCCGCAGCCGACAGCTATGAATCTCTATCATGCGATTTTCTCTATCATCCGCTGTTTAACGATGCTCCTATCTGTTGCGTTCGTTCCATCGCTGGGTGTCGGCCACGCGGCGAGGGGCTGGATTGGTTACGTTATCCTTCTATTGCATGGGATGGTTTTAACTTTTGGATTCTTCTTGAATGCAATTCAAACTTTGGTTGAAGTACTTGCTCGTCTTGCTGGTGCTGGTGGCGAGGGTGGAGTGGAGGGCGGTGCGGCAAGGGGCGGTCTTGTAAAGGTCTGTATTTCCCATTGGAATGGATCCTACCTGTTCAAAGGAATGCTAGGGTAAATTGCCAGGCGTATTAGAAGTAATTTTGCTCATGATTTTGCCAACAGGTCTTTGGAATGCGCCAACTTTCTCGCAGAGTCCCGCGAGGACCTCGCCATGTTCCTCGTCATAGCAGCACCTCGGAAGCAACAATGTTAGGCTCGGATCATGGAAGAATGTCAACCCACCTAGACGCTGAGAGAGCTCGAAGCTTTTCTGGTAGTTCAGCACTCTTGTTGAGCCGGTCTGCAGCTGCCGAGAACAGGGTGAGCGCTGGCTTCGAAGCGAGTAGCCTTTTTGGAGTGGGCCATCATCGCCAGGGAAGCGGAACCGCACCGTACACACCTACCACTCCGGGGGGTATCTCACATTTCGCGTTCCCTCGCCAATATTCGGGGGGCAGTGGGTCACCACGCAGCGCCTTGGCTAGCCTAAAGCATTCAGATAACATTGGCCCTTACTATCGGCCCCCTAGACGGCGGCGAGCCACATTGGACGGAATGTCGTCTCGCAGCCGCACTCACACCTTATGGACTAGTGGCGATTGGACTAAACGACAGTCAGGCAGTAATATCGACGGTGAGGGAGTTCATACGAATGACAGTACCCCAGTCGCCGGGAGCAACACACCAGTTCCAGCTTACCTTGGGGCATCTAGGGATGATTCGGATGTAGACATGGACGAACCGGGCCGTCCAAGGACTGACTATGCTGTCCGGGAGGTAGACTTTTATTATCGCGTTCGAGGTCCTGCGCTTTCCCATTCTGCAACCCGAAAACTAAAAACTGGCCCTGCCGACCCGACTGGTCCAGTATCGTCTGCCACAGGCTGGTTCCGCGAACTCTTCCGCGGTAAAACAAGGGATAAAGGGAAAGGTTTCGAAGTCGTTCGCAGCGCCAGAGCCCCCCCGCCCGGATTGATACCACATACTGAGGTCGGCGAGCCGTTCCCGGAACCGTATCAGGATGAGCCTGATACCTCGAAGAATGCTGGTTTGGGTGTAGCCCAACACACCCGTAGTATATCGGGAGCACACAATAGTTCCGAGAAGATAACTAGATACGAGCCAAAAATAGCAACTGAACAACCCGCCCCTACGTTACCTCCTATCGAAGCAAGTGAAGCTATCGAGCTCCCACGCCGAACAAGCTCAAAGAGTGATGCGCAAGGAAATTTCCTCATACTGCCGCCCACTATTCCCCGCAAAAGCTCCAAACGACACTCCTCAGTCGTACCGACAGACCTAAAATTCGAAGCAGGGGCAGGGGCAGGGGCTGGGGCTGGAGCTGAAAATGGCGTCGAAATCATTCCCCCTGAGAAGATTCAGAATACCGACAATTCCGACAACCCCCTTCAATCTTCCCCAAAAGCAACCAACACCCATACCACACGACTCCCTTTCGGCTCCAAATCCTCGTCGATGCGGAGCGAGTTTGTCTCTACGGGATCGGGCAATTCCAGTATTCAGAACACGACAGACGACGACAACAGCTATAATACCAGCAATAATGACACCGACAATCCCGATCCCAACAACAACAATGATGATAATAAGCATGGGCCAAGAAGACGACATAGTTCGGCACCTTACATTCCATCTACCCGTAACCAGGGCCGGCCCTCGAGTATGGGATGCGTCCAGATGCATCGCGCAAGCGACCATATATATGTCACTGATGCTGCACCGTTTTCTGGCAGTACGGCTGAGATCGTGGGGGACCCTCCTCCCCCTTCTTCTCCAGTGTCGGCTGGTTCACCTCGTCCGTCCTCTGACACTCACCCTCGTTCACATTGTCCGCTTTGAGACTGAATCGGCACATGTATGCTCCTCCTACCTCCTCCTACATCTCCCTCCCGCCTTCTCCAAGCCTTCAGTATCTCTCTACTTCACCCCATCCCCCCAATAGGGGTTTTTATCCGTCTCTCTATCTATCCACCTCTTACACTCTCGACATCTTCCTCTATCACCCTCCACGTATGACTTCAGCAGTGTCTAATCTTCTGTTCTCTTTTTCATATTTCTTTTTTTTTTTCTTTTTTTTTTTTTTTTTTTTTTTTTTTTTTTTTTTTTTAAACTTATCATTTAATCACTTCTCGCACGATTCCAATATTTCTTGACACGAATTCCCTTTGTGGCTTTCATTTAGTATGATTTTTATATTATTTCTAAAAGGCGCATTTGGAGGAACGGCATTTGTTCGTAAGCGTTTCTTATTTCTTTCTTTTCCTCTTCTTTTCCTCTTTTTTTTTTTGTTTTTACCATATATTATTATTTTCTCTTCAACAAATTATTCAAATATTATTAGCTCTAGTAGCGTGGAATTTGCTATTTCCCATTTTCTGCATGTTTCCCTTTCGTCCCCTGTACTTCTTGGATCTTTTATCTACGTCACTGATGCTGTTGCTAAAATCTAAAACGGGGCTCTTTTTTTGTTTTCCTGCCTTTTTTTGGGGTGATTGCTAAATTGTTGTAAGTTCGGTATGTAATGTTATGATGGACAAACAGGGAACGGAAAAACAAATATTGATTGAATGATGATCATGACGATGAGCCTTGTCTCTTTTGCCCATTTTTCGTTTTCTAGATACATGTATTATTTGCTTCATCGAGATGTTTTGATCCAACCTACATTGTTGTGCGGGGAGCAGCAAACTGATATCGCTTGCAATTTTGCCAACTGTGAGCTTTTTTTAGTTAGCTTAACCAGCCTAAAATTAAGCAACGTACGGAGTACTGTACTGTACTGTGCACATACATACGCAGGAAGCTATCTGCCCGATGAGGCTTGGTTCGTGTTCTGCTTATCGGCTTAGCCTTGGTTCCAGGCTAACTCCGCCCTGGGCACACCCGCCGATGATGATGAGCCTCACCCAAACCACCATCTCATGGCAATCCTGTCGTGACAAATCAATCGAACGCGGAATAACTAATACAATTAACTACCAAACTGCCCCCTGCGTGGCTGTCTTGTCCCCAAAGAATCGATACAAACCACTTTGCTTCGTGGCGAATGCTGGGCAACTGACCAGCCAACCTCCCCTCCCTGTATCGTCGCCAGCTAACTCTCCTTTCCCCTCTCCATTCTGCTGGCCTGAGACGCCGCGAAAGTTACAATAAAACCAGCGCGGCCCTTGTTGCACTCGTGACATGTCTCCTCGTCTTCCTTTCTTTTGGACCTTTTTCTACTACTAGGTAGGTTTGCCCCTCACGAATCTCTCTCTTCAAGCAATGCATTTGGGAGGAACTGACCCTTTTTTTCTCCAAACTCTCTCAGACTACGGATGGTAGCTAGAACGACGGCGGAGCCTTTTCTAGAGTCTATTTTATACGAGAAACACGGCGACTAGACGAGACGGCTTGGATCACCTTGACCAGCCTTGGTGACCTAACAGCGCCCTGCGAAAGGTGACGCAAAAAAGGGAGGAAGAGGAAGAGAGAAAAAAAAAAAAAAAAAAAAAAGAGGGATATTCTGTCGTTTTTCTTTGCTAGCGGTCGATCCTCATCACCGTTTCATAACTCTCATTTCTCCTCGTCGATCTATCTATCTCCTAGCACGCCACCACACACACTATTCAGAAGGTACTTAGGAGGACTCTCTCCTCCGTACCAACGTGGAATATCCCCTCGGTAGAGCCAATGACGACGGCCCTTCGTCCAAGCGACGGAGACTGGTCTCGTCTCCCCCCTCAGGAAGAAGACGAACGTCGTTCCTGAAATCTTATCTGCAGAGAACCAGTCACTTACTACTTCATTCGATGTCATCTCCTTCCTCCGCCTCCACGTCGCCGTTGTCCTCCTCCTCCGCCTCCTCTTCTTCACCCTCACCTGCAGCGGATCCTATCACTTTCCCTATTTCCCCAACCCCTGCAGCTTCCAGGTCTCAACATGATTCTAGTACCACGTCTTCTACTCAATCCTCTCACGACTCGCTTCAAACAACGAGAAATATAACGGCGGTTGGGTCGAGGGATTCACAGGGATCAACACGGACTGCAGGGTCGTCTAGACACACTTTACTGGAGTTTCTACAAAATGAAGGTCCCGAGGCTGGGAATGGCCAGCAACAGTCGGAGCAGGGACAGAGCGTACGGAATGCACAAGAAGCCAACACTACAAGTTTGGAACGAAAGAGGAGGTTGACCAGCGCGAGTGACAACTTTGGCTATGCTCACCCAGGGGCGGGTAGCTCCTCAGTAGATGCTGGCTCGTCGGGAGCTCGTCCCAGACCCTCTGCCACTCAGTCGTGGGGACGCACTGGTTCAGGACTACCAGGGAGCTCAAGAGAAAATGCAATTGATCTCTCCGGGTCTCAAGAGTCACTCTCGCGGCAGCTGAGCTCGTTGCGGCATCGGGAGAACAGCTTTGCAAATTACGAGTTACCGCAATGGCAGTCTGATTCTGAAGTTTCAAAATGTCCCATCTGTGATACCCAGTTCAGCTTTTGGTACAGGAAACATCACTGCAGGAAATGCGGGCGGGTAGTTTGTGCCTCGTGCTCACCACATAGAATCACCATCCCACGCCAGTTCATTGTTCGTCCGCCAGAATCTAATAGACCGCTCTCGACACTTCTCCAGTCGAATCCCTCTGAAGCTCAAGTTATTAGTCTCATTGATGACGATGAACAAAGTCCCTCCGCAACTGCCGGCTCGTCTGTCCTCATGGACAGACAGCAAAGATTACGACAACAAAGAGGCCGCTACCCTCCGAATTCAGCCTTAGGAGGTGGAGAAGAAGTCCGTTTGTGCAATCCATGCGTCCCTGATCCCAACCCTGAGCCTCCCAGACGTTATACAAGTGGTGGCTCATTGTTTCCACCCTCCCTTTCAGGCTGGCCAGACGACGCAGCGGCGGCTTCTCATGCACCTACGCAACATCATTCTACATTACCAGGCTACTACCGCAATAGTAGTGCATATAGACGTGATAACAACCTCTTTCATCGACCGTCGGCTTCTCTCTCATCAGCCGCAGATATGCCGGCTTCCCAGGAGGCTCGTGACATCCGAAGACGCCGGGGTCGCGGTATGATTGTGAGTTTTTTCTTTTTTCTTTTTTCTTGTTTACATTATGATCTCCTAGTGTTTCATATAAACAAATTGCGCATGTTAACATTCTGTTAAATCTAGTTCCAGCCCGAGACTCCTGAAATTCAACGAGCAGCTCAAGAAGGGTTTCCTGATGAAGGCTTGCCGTCGTATGGAAGCTTTGATTACACAGTTGTCCCGAATTTCCGTGGCATGCCCCCACGGTATCAGTCAACGCAACAGGCTGCTGGGGCCCCGCATCCTCGTTACTCTCCTCCAGCATATTCTTCAACTTCTGGCACGTCCATTCCGGTATGGATTCCCTGTTGATAAGCCTTTCGTTCCATTTTTGTTTTCTTTTCGTTTTATTTTATTTTTATTTAATCACACTAGATGGTTTCCCCTTAAGATGCCGACATATGTACTAAAGCAGCCGTGTAACAGGCTTCCCGCCATCGTGCCAGCCACTCCATCTCCCGTCCCATGCCCACCCATCACCGCGGCCCATCCACCGATTTTCTCCAAAGCCTAAGCCCTTCATCATCCAGCCGAAACAGGCCCTTACATCCCGTCGCGCCACACCACTATCGCCGCCCGATTGACGAAAGCGACATTTGCCCTATATGCGGTCGCCTCCTTCCACCGCGGGGCCCCGATGGCAATGAAGCCGCCCGAGAAGCCCATATACGCGATTGTATAGAAGGGCACGGGACCGGACACGGGCATCCCTCTAACATCCCTTCCAGCAGCACAGGTCGTCGCATGTCACAGTCCCATCCCAATGAGAACGACCACAATAATAATCACCATGCCGACCGCCCTTTACGAATGTTGCCGTTTACAGCGACAGAGAAAGATTGTGTTGGTGAGGATGGCGGGCAGCAAGAATGCACGATTTGCATGGAGGAATATGAAGTTGGGGACCATTTGGCGCGGCTGGAGTGCCTGTGCAAGTTCCATAAGGCGTGTATAGTGAGCTGGCTGGAGAGGAAAATGGAGTGTCCGGTTCATAAAGTGCATTAGTTCGCTTCTATTTTTATTCTTTTTTATTTTTTTTTTTGCTGTTTTTTTTCTTTTTCTTTTTATTTTTTTTTTTCCTTTGTGCATGTTAGCGGGTGTTTTGCGGGTCGGGTCTACTTTGAGTAGTTTTGGATTTGTCCTTATGAAATATGTTCTTCTCAGGGTCTCCGCCGTCCTTTTTCCCCCTTCCTTCCCCCCACCTTCCCGTCCCGAACCTACTCTACTGTTGCATGCGATGGTTACAACTTCTCGGCTGGTAACCAACGACGTGTCTCGTTCCCTATTCTGGGCATTGATGCCTTTTTTTTATATCTGTGCAGTATTTAGATAACTGGATCCAGGTCAAGAACGTGTTTTGGTCCGATTTTTTCCGAGTATCGTAGGGGAGCTAATTTCTCATTCGAGCTATGTGACAATCACAGACTGGACGTCATCACATTGATAAAAATTACAATGAGCTGGCATTAGGACTTTTGAAAAGACAAAGCATGTTCAAAAAGATCTCACCTCCAAGGCAGCAGCTCTAGGCTGCGAAATTATCACTCCGGCGATTGGCTAAATAATATTTCATTTCTTTTTCATCACCAGCTGCTGGCGGAATAAACGCTTGGAATACGAGAAACCAGCAGAACGACGTCCATTCCCTGCCCATTTTCCGCCGTTTTGACTCAGCCCTAGGCACGGCAGTAGTCATAAGTTCCTCCCATGTGTCCTAGCGGGCGATTTCGACCACAAGTTCGCCCTCACCGACGACGACGCCCGCCTCGACCTCCCCCGGCTCTGTTGATCTCTCGATCTCAGACAAGTTCGCGAACGAGACAGAGAACACGGTTATCACCAGCTTCATCTTCTCAGTATGCCCCGTGCCTGACACTGCTAGGCTAGCTCTGTGCCGACGCTCTCGCCACACCCTCCCCCCAGCGGCTTCCCAGCTGTGTCAGACCGGCCGCCGAAAGCACCGTTGGCCGTGCACGCTATCGGGAGTTGCCTAACCCACGCATCGTACGTTTCTGTGCCACAAGCACCGGGGAAAAGGGTTTCCCCAGAGCTAAAAAATCTAGTAAAATCCAGGGGGAGGCGGGAGGGGGGAAGTATTTATTACATTTGCTGACGATGACGAGCTTCTCAACAGAAGGGAATCGCCTCGTTCACGCGCGGCCACAGCCCCTCCGGCGTGGCGCCACCCAAAAACGCGTCCCAAGGGAAAAAAGAAAGCTTTGAGAATACCGAGCGAGAAGAGGGAAAACGGGGATCCTGTTTCCATCCACAGCTCCTGATTCCATGGATGCCGATCCGCGAGCTCCCCGACGTCACACCGCGCCCTCGCAGTCTTCATCCACACCCACCTCCGACCTGAGCATCCAACAAACTCACACTACTTACTACTACGACGACAGCCCGAACCCGCAGTCTCCACACTCCGCAACCCTTGGCGGCGGTCCCCACGATGACGATAGTACCCGGGACCGTGACCAGGACCACAGAATCGGGACCGGGGCCGGGACCGGCATTGGAGTCGGCGCCGGTACATATACCGAATCCACTGTCGTGACAGACGCTCACAATCATAATAACAACCCCAATGACCCCCTAGCTGACTTGAAGCGCCCGCGCGCCTGCGAGGCCTGTCGACAGCTCAAGGTGCGCTGCGACCCGCACCCTGACACCCCAGATGGCCCGTGCAAGCGCTGTGCGAAGGCCAATCGCCGCTGTGTCGTGACGGTGCCGACGCGAAAGAGGCAGAAGAAAGCTGATAGTCGTGTTGCGGAGCTGGAGAGGAAGATCGATGCCCTGACAGCAAGCTTGCAGGCCACTAGAGCGAGGAATGGGAGTAATGCTGCTGGGAGCGGAGGGGTGGGGAGCCCTGTTTTACGATCTGGGTCTGCGGCGGAGGATCTCCCTGCTGCCCGGTGGATGGGGGGCGTACAGCACCATGGAAGTGAAAGTAGACGGGCGACTACTGGAGGCTCTATGGCAGGGCTAGCTGGGAATAAAAGGTATGCTAGTGGGGAGTTTAAGTCTAGGTTCGGGAATGCTGGGATTCTTGTTCCGCTGGCTGCTCGACCCCATAGTCCGACGACTGAGAGCACGTCGACATTCTATGATGGGTCAAATCACGGTGGCGACGGGAATACCCCAGATAACTGGCCTCCGATATTGCCAACCATTGACAGAGCACTCAAGGCTCGCTACGATTATGAGTATACAGATGTCATTGATCGAGGGGTTGTGGATACGGAGATGGCTCTCAAGTGTTTCAACCGCTATGTGAACGATATTGCACCGTTGCTTCCCTTCGTCGTCTTTCCCCCTGAAACCACCATGGCCGAAGTTCGTCGGACGAAACCCATCCTTCTTCTGGCTATCCTATCCATATCAATCGGCATATTCAACGCGGACCTGCAGACTTCTCTGCTGAACGAGCTCTTCCGCCTCTTTGCAGACCAGGTAATTGTCAAGGGTTCGAAGTCTCTCGAGTTGGTGCAGGCCATTATGCTCTCGATGATCTGGTATACACCTCCGGACCATTACGAGGAAATGAAGTTCTTCCAGCTCATACACATCGCCGCGACGATGGCGATGGACCTAGGTATGAACAGGAGAACCAAGTCGAAGGCGAAATCGAAGTCTATGGGCATGTGGAGGGAAATCATGGGCAAGAAAGTTGTCATGCTAGACCCCGATGCACCGGAGACTCGGAGGGCATGGCTCGGGTGCTATTTTATGTGTGTTAAGTATGTTTTTTGGCCCTTTCCCTGCACTCATCTAGTCATGGTATCGCGTCCTTCATAGCCGTTGTGCCATGCCGGTATTTATTTTATTTATTTTACTTTTGCTAAAATGCTAGGACAGCGTTGCAATGTCACTTTGACGCCCCATCCTCACGCGTTGGCACCCGTACATGGACGAATCTCTCGAAATCCTCGAGACGTCGCCCGATGCGCTTCCATCTGATAGAAATCTCATTCAATGGGTGAAGCTGGCGCACCTTGGCGAAGAAATTCTTTTCCAGTTTTCAATGGATGACCCCGCTACCAATGTAGATATAACGGATCCCAAAAACCAATATGCGTTAAAGGGGTTCGAAAGGCGTTTGGCAGAATGGCGAAAGGAGGTGCCTCCCGAGTGCTACTCTCGTAAGCTCTTTTAACCTTGTTCTCCCATGCTACCTCCATATCTTTCACTTCTAAACATTACATAGCCCTAATGCGCCACTATGAGCTCGTTCTCAACATCTATATGCATGAAATCGGCATGCACGCCGACCACAACATCGACGATTTCAAACCGCCCTTTATAAATAGTCTTACCTCCGACAATCCGGTCAACCTTGGCTCTCCCGCGCACGTTGACGCTCTAACTGTCTGCCTCACTTCCATCTATGAGGCAATAGACACGTTTACCTCCCTCGATTATACGACTATCCAATCTAGCCCCACCATCCACTTTGTTCGTACATCATACGCCTGCGTCGCTCTCATCAAACTATATACCGCCGCATCGTACCCCGCCACTCGACTGGGCCAGGTATTCAATCCTACAGACTTTAAGATTGAATACTACCTCACCAAGCTCATTGCCCATTTGAAGGGTTCGGGGGAGCGCATGTCAGGACGGGTGCCATCTAGATTCTCGCTAATGTTGGGAATATTAAAGACGTGGTTTCTCAAGAGGAAAGAAGGGAAACCAGTGAGCACTGGTAGCGGTCCGTGGAGCTTTTTTCAGCCGAAGGATATTCGGACGTATATCGCACCGGAGCCGCGCGCATCGGAGTCGGAGAGCGCGGGACAAGCGCAGGTTAGTACTGAGGTTTTACGTGCCTTGCTTTTCCCGCTCGAGATTCAAATCCTCAAGCAACTATCAAGATTTCTTCGCCTGCTTTCTTTTACGAATCTCGGGAGCTGATATATCCACTTCCCATTAGGCTACTTGTAACCCGGAATCAACGCCTTTACACCTCCAAAATCATGCAGCCATGGGTCGTCCAGAGACCCAACAATCACACCACCACCAGTCGAGCCTCTCCCCTCAGAACGTTCGCACTGATACGCACACCACTACTCTCCCGATCCACCCTTCCACAACCAACACTTCCAACATTGCCACTAACACAATCCCTGCGAATGAACATTGGACCCCGTTCGGTCCCTCACCAGGCATGGGCATTTTCCCCACCACCACAGTGCCTAACCAACCCTTATCATCGCAGTATCTACCGCAGCACCCGACCCAGGCCTTCGTCACCGCCGACTCAGGGGGACTGGTAAATCCACAACAGCCAGAGCTGGATCCACAGCAGGCCTTCATGCTAACCCAAGATATGCAGCTCATGTTCCAGCAAGATGAACTTGCTGGGTTGGGAAATATGTGGGATGACATTTTTTTTCCATTCCCCTTGGACGAGACCGGCCAGCCGCTGTGACAAGGCGCATAAGAAAAAGGAAGAGGAAAAAAAAAGGGGGAGGAAGAAAACAAAAAGAAAAAAAGGAAACGAAAAAAAATAAAAATAAAAAAGGAATCATATCTACTCCGGACAACATTCCATACCACTCTACTCACTGGCTCCCATGCTCTCTCCCCTCTTTCTATCACTACCTCCATCTCATCTCCCCTCCTTATCTGTAAATATATATATAGGTATCACCGCAACCGACATATACCCCACCCAGCCCACTTCACGATAGCCTAGCAACCAAATAATAAACAACAAACATCACAAAGCCAAAATAAAGAAAGACAGAAAGCAGAACGAATAGTTACAAGAAATGAGGATATATAATATTATTATCTTCATTCAACATCTTCGCTTTAAGCCACATACTTTTATTTGTTTTTACTTTGTCACGGCTAGTTATTATTTAGCGCAAGAGGCCGTGGGTAACTAGTTAACTAACTAAAACGCCATGGCTGACTGGGGTTAAGTTGTCCATGCGGAACACATCTTGAAGCTTCATACCGGCGCTATCCAGAGCGCCGAAACTATCTCGGACATACAGCGTAATGCACATTTCCCCATTTAACGTCCGTTTTCATGTGGAGGGGAGGAAGCCTACTTGGCTCATGTTTGATTTCGAGACACTCGATGACCCTATCGTCTTTTTTTTTTTTTTTTTTTTTTTTTCCGGGGAATTGGGCAAAGAAACCTTGGAAGCCCTGAGGATGTGCAATGTGCTCCATCACATGGATTCCCCGCGACGGCACCTCATCCTCGTTTTTCAATCAGGAGGATGGATGAGAAGTTGGATCTCATTGACTGCGCATTCTTCTTTAGAAAACGCCAACCATGGCCTCAAGGCGAGAGCATCGTTCCTACAACAGTTAGTTTACCCCTTCGTAGCCAAACTTTGGAATTAATTAACTTGCCGTTTCCGTACATTGCTTGGGTCAGGCTTCATTCAGACCTAAAGGAGCAATGTCTCTGTTGTGTCTTTTTTGCTCTCTTCCCTCCAATAGGAGACATCGTCCCATTTGTCTGCATGAAGCGGAGATGATGATGCGCTGTTGTTTATCCGGGCAGTCAGCCTGGATTTCCTGATTCAGACAATAATTTCATTAACTAGTTATGTCTCCCAGCAGGCTTTTCTGGAAGCGAGCATGCTTGGCCACAGCCCATTCCTAGCCAAGTCAATTGCTCTTCTTTGTTTCTTTCTCACGGTTGAAGTCTGGGCACGAACGAGGACACGGCGTTCAAAAACTGCGGGTGCACCCTCTTGCGGTTACTCGGTACACTATTACCCTATTGCGACGTTCCAGTTGTATGCCTGATACCTAAATTAGTAGAGGTACCAGGGCTCTTTGATATAAAGCCTACAGATGCAGAGCTTTCCTACCCCAAAAGGGGGGCCTTAATGAACGGGCAGAAAGAAGTCGCCAAGCTTCATTCTCAGTTCCCATTCACCGCGCGAAATTTCATTGTCCTCACATTCACCTGCTGCTGGCTATAATAAAACCACCTTGGAACGTTTAACACCATGGTAGGCGCAACATCAAACTCCTCTCCAACGGCGCGCGGCATCATCAGATCCCTACTTTCTCATCTCACTGCTACGAAACCTACCACGAAACAGGAGTATAAGAAGGATATTAAGCGGCCAACAACCATGGCAGCCCAAACCCAAACTCCCCCGCAGTTCACACACATCCAGTCCAAGGGCATTTATCACGGCCTGCCAGTCATTCCGGAATCTGATTCGCGCAAGGGGCTGACAGCGATTGTAACGGGAGCCAATGGCATATCAGGTAGCCACATGGTGCGCGTGCTGGCAGAAACCCCCGAGCGCTGGGCAAAGATATACACCATGTCCCGTCGTGCGGCTATTGGAGGGAGCAAATATGGGAATGTGACGCATCTCGAGCTGGACTTCTTGAAGAGCTCGCCGGGAGATTTGGCCAAGGCTATGGTGGAGAAGGGAGTTAAGGCGTTAGTTGATTTATTTCTCCTTTGCTCTACTTGCTTATCTTCTCCCTCATAAGTCTTCTTCGTAACTCTTGGGGGGTTTTGCTGGAGAAACGGGGGACAGGGCTTTCGTTGATTGAGTATTGGCTAACGCTTTCATGTTTCAGTGACTATGTCTTCTTCTACTCGTATATCCAGGTTCCTCCGAAGACTGAGGGGTCGATTTGGTCAGATGCACAGGAGATGTGCAATGTAAATGGTAATGATGCGCCGACTTGAGTGGATCTTTTGCTATCTATACATTACCCCCCCCCCCCCCCCCCCAGGAAATTTCCCGTTCTTGTGAAGTTCCCAGAGGCAGCTGATTCAAATTCAAATATATTAGGTGCTTTGCTCTCCAACTTCATCCAGGCTCTTAAACTTGCTTCAATCACTCCCAAGCGCTTCATGCTCCAAACAGGTGCCAAAAGCTACGGTGCACACCTCGGCACCGCGAAATCTCCTCAAGTAGAATCAGATCCTCGCGTTACAATCGAACCAAATTTCTACTATGACCAAGAAGATTTGCTCTTCCAGTACTGCGAGGAAACAGGCACGGAATGGAACGTCGTCCGCCCTTCATTCATCCTCGGAGCCGCCAAAGACGCAGCCATGAACCTGGCTTACAGTCTTGGTGTCTTTGCCGCCGTCCACGAACATTTAGGCAAGCCATTGGTCTTCCCTGGAAATATAGCTTCGTTCGATGTCATCAGAGACCTGTCTTCGGCTATGTTGAATAGCTATATGGCGGAATGGGCTGTGCTAAATCCAGTTGCCCCCAACGAGGCATTCAATGCCTGCGACTGCAGCGCAGTGACTCCCGGCGCTCTCTGGACCGCGCTTGCAAAGATGTATGGGATTGAATGTAAAGTTCCAGATCCAAATGCTGAGTATCAGAGCCTCACTCTACCATTTGATCCTCCTCCTCGAGGGTAAGTGGTCCATTTTAATCTCCTAATCTACTTGTCATCCCCCCCCGCGTTTATTTGGCCACATAAATGCGTTAGTGAACCAAGAAAGGGGCTAAATAATGAGTGCTGGACTTCAAATCCAGATTTGGACCTCCCGAAAAGATCGAATTCACCTACAGCATTGCCGCATGGGCGTACGACCCACAGGTCCACACAGCATGGCAAGAGCTCACACAGAAACATGGCCTCGTCCACAACCCATTCGCCACACCGGCTGATCGAAACCGTATCTTCGGCTTCACGGATACCGCTATTTTGGGAGGAACCCCCGTGCACTTCAGGTGAGTTTGGATATGTCACATCTGAGTTATCTTGGTTGATTTTCCCTTCCACCTCGTAGCTCTCCCTGTTTGTCCAACGCTATATTCGTACGGAGTCATGGAGCAAGCACTAATTGGCACATCCCACAGCATGGACAAATCTCGTAAGCTGGGTTGGCATGGCACCGCTGACAGTTTCGCGTCGCTACGCAATGTTCTCGAGGAATTCGTGCAGATGAAAATGCTGCCGCCATTGCCTTCGACCGCGTAGACATGCCTGCCGGCCAGCTGCCTTTTCTGGATATTTGTCTCCTTTTTAGTATTTTCCTCATCAACTCTTCTTTTGTCCCGGCGATTTCGTGTCAATTTTCTTTTTTGACTCCTTCCGTTTTCAGGCGTTCATGATGATTCATGTTATTTTTTCCCCGAGCTGTATTGGTGATGAATGTAGGGTAACGAAAACTCCCCGATTTTTATTCTTGCCTAAACACGATCCAAGACAACTCGCGGTTTTCTGATGCAACCTGCAGGTGATCAGTCCAGTTTGCAGTCCCTTGCCTATCTTCTGCTTCAGAACACCATAACACCGGTGATCAGTCTGGGTTGTGGCCACAGTTGCGCCCCCACCACTGCAGCTGGTGATCAGTCCAGTTTGCAGTCCCTTGTCTATCTTCCACTTCAGAATGCCATAGCACCAGTGATCGGTCGGGGTTGTGGCCACAGTTGTGGTAGACCCACCTTCTTCACACCTTATACACATCTGTTACAGACTGCAATGGAGCAGGATTAACCCACATCTGAAAAAGGTCTAGCGCTCACTCCCTCATTCCTTATTAGGTTTAGCACCCGCGGCATTTAGTGGTTTCTATCACCTTCTTTCAACCTCATCCTGCCACCCCATTTTCATTCCCCGCGACCGCTCCTTTTCGGACAGGGGACTGTGGCGTCCACCCTTGCTACTCCTCAGGGCTTCCGCTCCTCCCTTCTTCCACTCCATCCTTATTCCTCTATCTGGAAGCACATCCACCTGCTACTTCCCAGGGCTTCTGCCCCTTCCTTCCTGGGGCTTCCACTCCTTCCTTCTGTAAAGTCAACCATGATAAACAAACAAGCATGTACTTATATATATATATAGGGGCGCCCTCCATCTTAGAAGAAGGAGACAAGATTTACCTTTTTACATGTACTATACATGATTGGCATACACTGCAAGTGATGTATGCTGCAGGGGCTGTGTAATGCTTATGATACCTATTTTTTAAAGTGCAGGCCGGAGCAATTTAACCCCGCTGCAGAAGTCTCATTGAGCAAAGAAGGCAAATATGTAGCTGCACTGAGATAATGCAATAAATGGTCACTCTTTTTTGAGCTGCAAAGTCTTAGCTATCATGTGCGATGGATTAAGCGCCTGTATTAAGGCCTGAAATTGTTCACCTCCTTGACATGTCAACCAGCGCCATGTGCCAATCATGCGGGAATTTCCCTTGCTTTCAGCAAGTACTTTCCTGATACAGTTTTTTCCTAGAAACCTTTTATGTGAAGATGAAAGTTACTGCTTCTTTCTTGGCCTTTTGAATATTTGTGTTTGTTCTAAGGAGGTAGTTGGTGTTACACCTGCCGAGGCAATATGGCACTGACTTGGCTGGCTTGGTGGGCTGTCATCATCCTCACCTGCGAGCACTGATTTGAAGTTGGATTATTGAGAGTATTGACCTGACTGTGAAATGTCAAAATCCACATCAGAGAGTATCTGATCAATTACAGAGCATATTCTTTTAAAATGAGTTAGCATTCATATATTATAGACATTTCTCATGAATCTGTATATTGTTCATTTCTCTTTATCATTCAGAGCAGTAAAATCAAACTTGTGAATTAAGTGACAGTAAAAATTTGTCTTCTCTTCTTCAAGAACTGCATAGTAACTGTAGATCCTCACTACTATGTGATTATATAAGACTGAGAAGATAAGTATCTCTCAGTTGATCTCTTTTTCTTGCTTCATTAGTTTGAATAACTCAATAATATCTCTAACTGTAAGAGTTATACTGTGAGCATTCTGTTAATCTGCAATATCAAGTACCATCTCATCACATTTTATCTCACATATTAGAAATGAAAAATGCATAGTATCTATTATCATATAAAATGAAGTACACTCTCAGTCATCTATAAAAGGCTTGAGCTTCTCAAGTTAATCATCTATAAATGCAGATTACTTGAATCTCACAGAGTAATCAGATTGTGAACAGAGTTCATAGAAAGAAATACTCTTATTTCAGTTATTATTAACATCTTCATTCAAACACTTCAGATAAGTAATCTTATATGTAGCTAGAGTATCTGCAGATGAGATAATCAATAGCTCAATATTCTGAATTACTCTGACTTTATTCTCACATTGAATCTTCTCATAGATTGTGTTGAATAAGTTATCTTAAAATAATAAATTCTCAGAGACAGTTAAGACTGTATTAAGTAAAGATTTAATAAGAGTACTACTTTCATCTGTAATTTCAACATGTGACTTTTTCATAAAGCTGTCTTTTAATTCAAGTATAGTTTAATAATATGAATTTCTGTACAAAGTACTCTTTTCATTCCTTGATTTTTGAACACTCAGTGTGAAAACAGAGTCAGATTCTGATTATTTACAGTGAAAAGAAGATAATATCTTTCTTATAAGCAGAGAATTTATATTATTCTATCTGAAATATAATTTAAGTCAATGTTCTTACAGAATTTAATAGTTAATTAAATTAATATTGTTCTTATAGATATAGTTTAGTAACTCTTAATCAGATATGACTTTAATAGCAGAGCTCTTAACAGCAGCAGTTGCAAGAGTTATCTGTGATTACTTAGTAAGAAGACAGAGCAGATCTTCAGATTCTTATAATTATTTCTGTTTTTAATGTCTAGCTAGCAGAGATGCAGTTGAATTCTGTGATAACTTAACTCTGAGTTAGTTTCATAGGATAGTGAGAAGAGAGGAAACATATCACTGTTTCAGAAATATCACTATTTGAAGAGAGATATACTTACAGAGAGATTAACAGACTCTGAGAAGTCTTAGCTTTAAGTTAGTTTCATGATATAGTATAGTAAGAGAAAAGTCACATATCTTCTCTCTAAAATTATTACTTATTGAAAAGAAATATGAGTGATTTTATTCAGTTTTTCTATTCTTCAATTAAATTTGTTTATAAAGGTCACTGAGATGTGAACTTCTGCAGATGAATTCTTAAGATCATTTTCTAACCTCTTAAGGTCACTTTTCTATTAATAGTCAGTTAAAGTAGATAGTAATGAATATAAGTAATACATCTTGATTTTAATAACAGGTCATGATTAGAATGACTGTGTAACTGTGTCTGAAACCAGAATCAGAATATTTAATAGTTTTATTATCAATTTAACTGATCTCATTACACAGTTTTAAGATTATATAGTAGTCTCATACTATTTCAGTGAGACTTACTGTCTACTCTTATTATATTTTTCAAATGAGATCATGATTTTCACTTCTCAATTTAAATTATTTTTATTGCTTTAAATGACTTTAAATCTCATTTAAGTATTATCAAAAAGTGTTACTTTTTAAAAAATTAAAAATAGGCTAAAAAAAACCTTAAAATGTCTAAAAATAGTAACTTTATATCAAGAATGAGACTAAATAAAATCAAATAAGATCACTTTCTTATTTTTTCTAAGTTATGATTTCATTTTGAGATTTAATATATAGTCACTTTGCATGTTTTTTTAATGATTAGTTTCAGTGAGATTCATGCTAAGAAATGTATGAAACCAGACTAAATAAGATCAAATGTGAAATTCATGATTTTAGTGGCTAGTCTAGTCATGATAACAGAGAGTAGAAGGTACTTTTAAGTTGCTGCAAGAGCAGAGAATTGTGTTAACACTGAGAGACTTTTTAAGTGAGAAGATGATAAGTTTCTAGTGTAATTGTAACTAGTTATTAAAAGAAGAGTTAATGTAATTAACTATCTAATACTTGTTTTCATCTAATACTTGCCTTTGTAAATCAATTACAATCAACTTCAAATATTCATATATTAATGAATATTTATTTAAAACTATTCTAAAAAACAGAATAATAATTTGTAGATATATATTATATTATATTAAATTTCTATAAGAAAATAAAATATAATTATTAATTTATTAAGCTTTTTAAAATACTATTTTAAAATAAAATACACAGTTCATATTTATAAATATATTTATAAATATAAATTATTTTCATATAAAAATTAAATATCGTATAGATTATATATATTTTTAATAAAATATAAAATTTTATCTTGAAATTCTTATTTATTATTGATTTATTTAAATTTTTATATAAAATTTTATATTTTAAAATATTATTTTTGTAATAACTGTGTATTATTTATACTTTAAAATTGTAATTTAAATAAATTATTATATCAAATCATTTAAATATATTTATATTTAATAAATTATTTTTCAAAATTTAAAATTTTAAGAATTTTCAATATTTTACTTGTAATTTATAAAGAAAATTATAATAAAAAAATTAAAAAATTCTTAAAAATTAAAATATAGAATCCTTATATAAAATAATTTAATATTTATTAAATTATAATATATTTATATAAGAATTATTATTTTTAATAATATATAATACATATTTCTTAATTTATAATAAAATATTATATATTTTATTTTACTGTATTTTATTTTCTAATTGAATCTATATTTTAATTAATTTTAACTATATTATAATAATTTTGAATTATATTATACTATAAGTCTTAATATTTATAGATTACAAATTAAAAAATTAAAATAATGAATATTTATTAAGATATTAACATTTAAAGTTGATTATAATTTGATTTACAAAGACAAGTGTTAGGTGAAAATGAGTATTAGATAATTAATTATATTAATGTAATTAATCATCTAATGCTTGTTTTTATCTAACTAATACTTATCTTTGTAAATAAACTGATTGATATAAGAGGCCTATACTGAATAGATCAGTATGATATTTATAGATCTTATTTAACAAAGTGAAAAATGTTAAAGAAGAAAAGAAAGAGAAAGTATGAGAATCAGTAATTAAAGTGAATATTTATACACATATATAATAAAGCTTCGGGGTGGAAGAACAGGAATTTCATAGATTTTTTAGCGAAGAATTGATAACTGAGAATTGAAGCTTTCAGTGAGATCTATGAAGTGTAATGAAATAGTCTATATAATTGATCAGATGCAGTCTGTCACATTATCTCTCTTCTATCAGAGATGAGATTGTGTGTAGTTCTTATTAATTAAGAGCTGCTGTTTCAGATAATATAAAGCTCAGAGTTCAGATCAGATAATTATAGCTAACTCATTTTACAAGATATTATTAGTCATAGCTGTAGAGTCTCTTATTGAGAATATCTTTAATCTCTCACTTAAGTTCATTATCTTCTTCTACAATTTCTGATAACTGTTAATCAGAAGTCAGTTGAGAAGAAAACAGATCAGTGACAGTGTGATAAAGCAAGCTTGTATAAAAGATATTATAAATCTCTGATAATGTATTAAGATGATAATTATAACTGTCTAGAACTTTTATCACTTTATATTTAATATAATGATAATTCAGTGTATGAGATAAGTATA